GGTTTGGCGCCTTCGCGCAGCAGGGCGCGGCCGGCAGCGGCGGCGGCTTTGGGGCGTTCGCGCAGGGGGGCGCCGCCGGTGGCGGCTTCGGGGCGGCAGCGGCTCAGGGAGCAGCCGGCAGCGGCGCGTTCGGCCAGCCGGCTGGCGGCGGCTTTGGTGCGGCGGCGCCCCAGCCCGGCGGGTTTGGAGCGTTTGGCCAGCAGGGCGGCGCAGCTGCTGCCGGCGGCGGCGGGTTTGGCGCGTTTGGCGGCGGCGGCGGGTTTGGAGCTCAGCAGCAGCAGCCGCCTGCGCAGGGCTCGCCCGGCGGCGGCTTGTGGAACATGCGCAAGTGATCACGCATGGCAGTGTGCGGCATGTGTCCCTTTTCTTTGGTTCACTGTGTGCATGACAGCTGCTTGGGCTCGCCGATTGATTTTGCAGATTGCTGCCCGACCCTGCCTGTTATCAACAGTGTTTTGACTTTGTCAGTGGTTGGATCCTCACAGCGTCAGCCGTAGACTGCACCTGCTTAAATTCTATGCCTGCGGACCGCAATTGCTGTGGTGAGGGCAAGACAGTCCAGGCATCAACTTTTACCGTTGCCGGTGTGAACTACTTCAAATATATGAATCAGTGCTTTTCAGCAATGTGTGGGGCCATGAAACGGGGCGGGCGTCACCATGTCATCGCAGCACCCTAGAGGGGTCGACCCGTAACACACCACTGCAAGGGGCACGCGCCCAACCGCCGCCGCCGCCAACCGGCCCAAGCGTGCGCCGCTGTGGCGCAGGCGAACGGCCGCGGACCGCGACCCGATGACGAGGCTGCCGGCCCATCCCGGCAAAGCCTCGCGCATCTGCAATTTCGGGCGCACTTGTCTGCCCGCGCCACCAGCCTCGCCTCTGCGCCAGCCTCTCGCCGAAGCAGGGGCCCGGCCGCGGCCTATGGCTGCCAGCATCGGCCCCAGCGCCCGCAAGCGCGCACCCCCCACTGCTGCCACCCCCCACGCGCCGAGCAAACCCTTAGGCGTCGCCCGCAAAGCGCCCGCGCCCGCGCCGACTGCCTGCTGAGCCCGGGCTGCCGCCTGGACGGCCCAGGGGTGGCCCCAAGCTGCCGCTGCTGCCGCAGCCGCAGCTGCCGCCGGAGCCCCCGCCCGCATGCGCTCAGCGGCCGCCGCCGATCTGCCGCTTCGCCCCCTCCAGCGTGTTCTGCAGCAGCATCGCGATCGTCATCGGCCCCACGCCGCCCGGCACCGGCGTGATCGCGGCCGCGACCGTGGACGCGCCCGCGAAATCGACGTCCCCGACCAGCCGGTACCCCCGCTTCGCGGCCGCGTCATCCACCGCGTTGATGCCCACGTCGATGACGACCGCGCCCGGCTTGATCCAGTCCCCCTTGACCATCTCCGCGCGCCCGCAGGCGGCGATGACGATGTCCGCGCCCCGCACGACGCCCGCCGCGTCGGGCGTGCGCGAGTGCACCATCGTGACCGTCGCGTCCGCGTTCTGCAGCAGCAGCGCGACGGGCAGTCCCACGATGTTGCTGCGGCCGACGACGGCGGCTGTTTTTCCGGCAAGCGCCACGCCGCTGCGCTTGAGCAGCTCGAGGCAGCCCTTGGGGGTGCACGAGACGAAGAGCGGCTCGCGGCCGCGCATGGCGAGGGCGCCGATGTTCTGGGGGTGGAAGCCGTCGACGTCCTTATGGAGGCTGATGGCGTCGAGGACGCGCTGCTCGTTGATGTGCTTCGGGAGCTGGCGGGGAGGCGGGCGGGCGCGAGGCGGACGGGCGGAAGTTAGACGGGCGGCCGGGGAGCGGGCAGGTTTGTGGGCGTG